TTTTTCATAAACCACACATAATTAATTATGCATGACCTGGAACCCACTGCTCCAAAGCTCCCTGATAAAACAGACTCCGTGCCAAGTGCAGGTGGTCTCAGATGTGAGGAGAGTTAAGGGCACTCGTGCAGATGTTGCACTGACTAATGAACATCAAAGACTGAGTCTGTGTGTCATATGAGTGTGCCAGAATGTGTGTTTTCATCCTGATGCAAATGCTTAAATATGTTGTGTGTGTGTCTGTGTTTTGACCACTTGATTGTACCATTTATATGTATAGTACCACATACTAGAGGTTTGTGTGTTTGTGCATTTTTTAGCTTGTGCACTTCAAAGATTATGTTTTTGGTATGTGTGTTTTGGAATATTTGTGAGTCAGTGGCCAGGTGCATTGCACAGGGCCTACCTGTGGGTGAAGTTGGCTCCTGTCCACCTTCTTAAGTCTGCTTTTTATTCGATGTCATATAAACAAATCCCAGCAGGGTCCATTCATTTCGAAACCACTCAGCTACATCCTCAGATCTCTTCCCATCTGTTGACCTGCACTTTTTTTTTTTACCGAGGAGGTTCATGAAGAACAACACTTTTATGTCTGTGGTGTGCAGCAAGTAGTGTTTGGCTGTGTAAGCCTTTTCGCTTCTAAGTGCTGCATAGTCTAATGTACTGTCATGAGCAAAGACATATTCAACACCCACACATTTTTTTTTTTTTGTACAAACTTGTGTGTTTTCAGAGGCAGTATATACTCAGACGCAGACAGACTGGCTCAAATACACACATTAAGTCACACAAACGCATAACGAAGAACAGGCTCAAACTTGGCCCTCATTCACTCAGCAGGTCTTGTATGTCTTTGATATGCCTGACCCTCTTTTATTGTTTTTTTTTTTTTCAATATTTATCTATAAGACGGGTGGTATGTAACTGATTAGATAGATAAATACCCCCTGAAGGTGTGAGACAGGCATAGAGGAGGAGAGGAAGGATACTGAGTTTTCTCTTGTCCAAACACATCCCGGCAGTGGAACTTTAATCTGCTGAGGCTTCATGCATTTAAACAGCCCGATTAGGAACAGTCTAACAGGCGCTTTCCCTGCCGGGCTGAAACAGAAGTTAAGTGCTTAGGCACAGCCGTCATTTTGTTTGTTTTCTCAGTGCTTCTTTTAAAAGATGCACTCAGCAATACAGGCTTTGATCATGTGCTGTAACAACACAGAGTTTTGTTTAATCCTGCGTACCATACTAGTGCAATGCAAAGATGCAGAGTAAGTCGCTATAGCTACGATATTCTATGTTTGATACATTTATTAAAAGTCACAAAGTTCACTCTAAAGACTAAAGGAAGTGTGTGTGTTTTTATTGGCATACCTTTGTTGTTTATCATGGTTTTAACTGGGCATAGGTGGGTGTTTGGTTGGATGTGGGGTCATCCCCAGTCTGGTAGAGTGCACACAGCTGCTCTGTCTTTTCCATCATGCCACTATTTTGTAGAGCAAACTCTTGTGTGTGTATATTTTTGTGAGTCCAAGTAAGTAAACGTTTCAGAAGAACAGTGGGGTGTAATGCAAAGTAATAGCAGGTATGTTGGTAATAACTGTTCATCCTTTCTTCCTCTCCCCTTTTTGTCTTTTGTCTGCCCAGTGACATATTTGATGCCATGTTCCCAGTCACCCACATTGCAGGGGAAACGGTTATCCAGCAAGGTATGTGTAAAGGTTATTTTTATCATTTGAATGTATGTGCAGTTCTCTGAACTCTGTGATTGTACACAGTAGACTAAATAAAGTGGAATGTGGCAGATAAACTGAATGCCCTACCAGGGTTAAACATACATTCAAATACTGTAGATATTTAAGATATTAATGACAATGCTTGTGAGCTACTTTGTCTTGGCATACAGTTTATTCACACACCCATTTTGGTGGAAAGGAAACAATTAAGATGCTGTTCTCACTAATTAACTGTAATAGCTTTATCTCAAAGAACACATCTTTGCACTGCTATCAAGACTCACATTCACTTTATCCTGTTACGCTCATGTTTCCGTCTCGTTTCCTCTCCCTCTTTTAGTCTGCACCACATGTCAGGTCCCTCTCCTCTGTCTAACTACAGTCATTAAAGCCTTCACTCACATTCCAGGATTTTGAAGAGCACAGCAGGGCCAGACTGTTTTTCCAGTGCCCCACCACTCAAACTCTTATCATACACAGACACACGTTTAAACACATATTTAAAACACTGGAAACGCATACATTTGCACAGACAAGTGCCCAACTTTCAGATAATGCTATTCACACACCTGCACAAAATCACCTAAACTGCACTGGTGGAGCTTGCCTTCCAAACACAAACTCACATAGACATTAAAGGGCCCATGGCATGCTTTTCCTTGTTTTTGACTTATCTACAATGTTACAACAATGAATTTTCATCTTAGACATGACCTAAAGCTCAAAAAATGAGGTGTATGTATTTCCACGCAAAAGACACGACTCAAACTCTCACTCGGAATTTTTTGACTGCGTCTGGTTTTGTGGATATATTTTACCTCCTGCTGCTGCAGTGTGACCAGATGTGGAGAAAAATACAGGGCCTGAGGTCGCTGCATGTCCGGGAATGTTCCTGTATAGGGACTCACAGTTTTACCTGACTGGGTCTGACCTACAAGCATCCGGCCAGTGAAGCCCCCGCTGCGGTGACTGATCAGCTCATCAATGCTGGATCCCCCCAGAGCACAGTACTTGTTTGTTTTGACTGCTTGAGGCCAATGTGTCTGCCTCATGTGATGTGTTGGTGGTTAATGAGCAGATTACCAATGATGTTACTCTCAGCGCTACGCTACCTGTTGGAATTAATTTCACTACTTTGGGACTGTATGTGGTCATGTGGGGAACACGCAGCGACCACTGGTTGGATTTACTAACCTTGGAGCTAAAGTGAGTAATGTTTCAACTACTCAGTGGAAGTTAACTGTAAGTTTAAAAAAACATGTTACATGTCTGTTAGTGCACTGTTTTTGTAAGGTTAGAGAGAATTGGTGTCACTGTCACTGCCCACGTGGGCGTTGAAGTCTCCCAGTAGAACAACATGTCAACTGATTACCACCTGGTGGTGAGCTGGATCCGATGGCGGGGGACGAAGCTAGACAGACTCGGCAGACCCAAACGTATTGTGAGGGTCTGTTGGGAATGTTTAGCAGAATCCCGTCAGAGAGATCTTCAACTCCTGCCTCCGGCAGAGCTTTGACCAGATCCCAGGGGAGGTTGGAGACATTGAGTCCGAGTGGACCATATTCTCCACCTCCATTGTCCACATGGCGGTCGGGGACAGTGCCTCTGGACTGGCAGACCGGGGTGGTGGTCCCTCTTTTTAAGAAGGGGGACCAGAGGGTGTGTTC